GCGGCAACATCGTGGTAAAACTAGAAACGAGACAGGTAATTATCTTAAATTAATCGGTAGACTTACAATAAGGATATAACGCCAAATGCCTCTCCGACGACGTTTAGTAGGTACTTCAGACTCCATGGTTCGGTGTCCACAACTTGGCCTGATAAGAAGTGAGAATATAAGATCAGTTTACGGATAGACTGAACCGACTTGCCAAGTATGGTTACGGCAATAAACAGGCAATAAAAAAGTTGCATCCAACCACCCATAGATGTTACTAACTTCAATACTCAACCAAGACGTAAAAGGCTAAGTACTGTTTAAATTAATCATTACGAGAAACATTTTTTCAATGTGGTAAAAAATTTGTTAATTGGTGCTAAGATTTATCAGCATACGGAAATAAATGGGATCGAATTAAGAATAATTATGTGGGTGGAAAAGTTACATATATCTGAATGGCATAACGTAATGCTATAAGAGGAAAGCAACACCTAAAATGCGAAATAAACAGTGGCCAGCATCTACAAAAGTTTACCACAAAATTCAAATTGCATACACGCATATTTTTAGGGGAAATGGCTGTATCATAATAAAAACATACTTAAATGTCGCACAAGACAAAGGAATGAAGCTTAAAAGTAACGTGGGGTTTTCCTTCAAGCAGACTTCTCCTCAACAATGATAAAAAAACATTCGCTTATAAAGCAAGACCCACAGTAAAAACGGCATAACGTGCAAATGATTGTGGTATCCCAGCAAGGTAGGTAAAGTCGATTAAACAACCAAACTGTTGAGAATTTATCTCGAAAAATATGCAAATAAACCACGAAAACAAATAAGCATTTGTAATCCTGCTAACATTTAGATCAGCTGTGTCTACCTGCATGAAACAAAACCCACGGGCATACAGCAAACTTCGAGTCTACTAAAAGACCCAACAGGAAAATGCGTATAGATGCACCGCCCATTGGACTGTGAAATGACAGTAGCATCGTGAATATATTAAGATTGTGTGCTTTTGTTAGAGTGAATGGTAAAACAAATTAAAGTTAGAAGAAAACGGCTTGTTGACATCTGGTACCAAAGAAGGTCTATTGATTCGGGAAAAAAACTTGGCTAATCAAGATAAAGATGAGATACCAGTTGGCAGTTCTCGTCACAATATCATCGTATTCAAAGGCTATCGAAGAGAGCAAAGAAATGCTACAAACTACCACGGAAAATCCAAATTACAACATTGGGTTTGCTATTACCATGGGACTAAAAGGGTCTGCTTGGAAAAAAGGACCAAGACTGCAGCCTAATAGAACGATATACACAGACGATAATAACAAAAATTCTAAAACAGCGTTGTAAACAAATTCGATTGGTTAACCATATCAATAATTTGTGGACCGTTATCCAACACCACACAAACTGTACCGAAACTTTAAAGACTAATCTGTAAAAATTTCGAACAAATTATTCAGCGTACAAAGTTTAGGCAACGGCAATCATGTCATTAGAAAGCTTTTTTGGAGCTAACTTCAGTTAAGTGAAATAAAACAAAGAAGAAAAAAAGCAAACACAGTAGCCAGTGAATAAAAGTTTGTGTGCAGTCCCACAAATTCCACACTTATATACCTGAGCTAGTGACGTAAGGCATCTCGACTTTATACAGACCGCAGAGTCATCAGCAAATTAAAACGAAATATTAAAGCCATTGTCTATAATTAAAAATTTAGGACTTGAAATTATCAAAAGCATATAGTTTTTGCATTTCACTCTAGCATAAAACACATTTTATTACATTGAGTTAATTAGAAGCTTCCGTAGGATGCATTTAATTTTTATGATCAGCGTTCGATGAAATCTTTTAGTTTCAAGTAATGTAAATGTTCTTACATGTATTTTTAAAACTTAAGTTTGTCCTAACACCTAGATTTGAAAGCTTTGTGCTGGAAATTCGCCCACTACGCGTAGGTAATTAAATTATTTGAATTGAACCCTCAAATTGCGATTTAGTAATTGGCTTTACTTATCATCCTCACAACCTCCCATTTTAACCAAAGTGCATGCAAAGCTATGTCTTGCAAAAATGTTAAAGTTTATTCCCACAATGAATTTTTAGGAGTCCTATCACGTGAAATTATTGTTAATGCTATTTGTTGAATATTTTCAACGATTTAACTATATCATTAAGTATCTTCGATTGTCGGATTCATATCCAAAGTTGCATAATTTCGAAATTTATATTTTGCACTTATGCGTATGAGTTGTAACGGTAACCAGAATTTGCAACGAGTATCAGACAGGTTGCTAAAGCAAATGATTATGCTACAGAGTACGAATAAATATTCAGTACTTATTGTCAGCAGTAAGCACATGCAATTATCACATTTTACCTCTTCCATATTTTATAAAGAACTTTAGCGCTGGAAGCTTGTTCACCCAATCTTTGGTCTCAAAGATATTGGTCAACTATGGAGAAATTTCGTCGAATCACCAATATTTTTGACAGTGTTTACGACAAAGTGAGCGATAAATTCTTCTTAAAATAAATAAAGTTGTACTTTTCCACCAAACGCAATTGACTGCAAACTTTCTCACTAAAATAATGGTGGGTTGCGAGTTTTAAGAAATGATTTATTCTTAAATGGAACATTTAGAGAAATGACCTAGGTGGAATTAGTGGGTTACCAGTGTTACGCACCGGGAATTGTACATTTTGAAAAGGTCTGAACGTGATTTATAGGTGCCTAACGGGAGCTTCTTTTCTTGCAAACCACCTAAGGAAACTACTGCACGACATCTAACCCAAAAGTTTATATAAATTATATTATTAGTTGACCTGGTTTAAAGGAATGTGGCTTAAAAAGTTGATTTCATGCTTGGTACGTTAAACTAAGACTCTAAACTACTTGAAAAATATAAAACCTAAGTTTGAATCTGGTTCAGAAGTAAAAATTTAGATAAATGCCAGGTGTTAAATTGGAATAAATAAATTAAGTAAAATAACTAGTAATTTCCGCCACTGAGAGTTTTAAATATCGAATGCTGTAGTACTGCTAGGAACCATAATAAACTATATGAGTGCAATCTAGAAGTAATCTAGATATAGACATACACCTGCGTGTATCACATAGTGGCCACACTCTTGATATTTACATCTCATTTCACGAATGATTTTAGCCTGGTTGCTGGAATGTTTGGAGCTCATTAGGGACTAATTTGGTACCATTCTATTTTCCATTATGCCTGCATTCGATCTTTACCATACACGCCTTACCTATCACCAAATAGGTGTGAATAAACCATTACAAATAATGGGTTCAGGAAAAGGATTTTGACAGATTAATTCATTTCACTTCCCATCCGTTGACTGTTTTTATTAACAAAAACCAACTTAGAAATAACAACCTTTAACTGGTGTGAAAATATCGAGCTCTTAATGCATCAGTATTACTTGCTGTAATATATAACCGACAAGTTGGTACCATATGATCGCCATCAATAAAGACTTATAGCAATACCATGCTTAGTGTTGCAACCATATTTGCTTCAAAGTAGTCGGCGAATATAGGCTAACAGGCATATTAATATGAAAGAAAATTATTGCTTTTACATTTTGAAAAGACCTAGTCAAATAAAATTTAACATTTACTATATTCAAATTTATATGTTCTCCGTGATTTTTGGTCTAAATTGACTTACAAAGTAATCATTTGCTTTGGCGCACGACAGGTTTTCCTCCTTTCTCAACGTTAGCAACCTAAGCTTACCAAGGGATGCATATGCAGGATATCAACCTGGTCATTAAATATAACTTGAGTTTTCACTGGGTTTGCTTGATTGCCATGTGAACACATTCACTTTCTAAAAATTAGTGTAGGTGACCGTAATCACATTAGGGACGGCAATTAGAGCAGGGCAAAGCTTGAGTCGAGACGGAAGTTTGAAGAAACGTGGATGCCAATGATAAATCTAAGGTGCTTTCTAGTAGCGACCTGCTAAAACTGACTGATTTTCACCATGGGATGTCTGACCATGGCCTGTAAAGCAGACACGAACCCGACTCCATTTCACGAAACTTTGATGCTGCCATGCTTGCAAGAATTCACTCGGAGAAAATTAAGCTGGCAGCAAAATCACAGAAATGATTTTTTAATGTGGGACTCGAGCCCAACTTGTTCAGACTAAGCAAATCATTGCAGATACACAGGAAAGAATAAGAAGACCATTTATTCAAAGTCTCCACTCGGCTGTGCGGCTGCCTTGAAGGCATACCAGGCCATGTATCCCTACCCGGGGTGTGTGTACAAGTGGGTGCCTGCTTAGACGTGTACGCATAATGGATTCAAGCGAACAGACATGCGGATTATTTGAAAAGAGCGGACATGCGTCGACAGAGATGACGGATTTTAAGCAATAGGACATTGAAACCATTTTTAAACACGCGATTAGACTGCGGTTCTTGATGCATTATGAAAAACTGGAATTGTATACGGCAATGTTTATTCCCAAGCTAAGATATTAGCAACGTGTATGAATGGATAAATGGACGAAAATAAATTTCTTATTTAGCAGTCAGAGTTCAGAAATACGCTAGAGAAAAACTGTTGACAACAAAATTGTAAAAAAAAACATAAATAGCATATCTGCTTAAAGTGTAGACTTGTCATGTGATTATTAAAACAAGTGTTTTACAAAATATAACCTTAACCCTCATATTTAGCTGTCAGATTTAGTAAATCATTTGAATTCCCTGATGCAATTGTGTAAATTTGAGCCAAAACTGAATAAAAATAGGATAAGCGAAGAGCTGAATCAAGTGGTATCTAGTCTCAAGCACTACTGTGGCACGGGGCGAGGTAGACTGTTTTACCTCAAGCAACATGGGACCACGAGGATTAAGCGAGGCAAAATCGATAGCAATGTAACGCTTACAGTGTCGACATTTAACAAAAACAATGTAACCCACGTCACAGGCGAATCTCGCAATCTACGCATGTCTCGATGGTCTAATTCTCATGGATTCTGTGCTTAAAGCAGGCAGAGCACTTGGCTACGTCATTCATACGTCCTACCGCACATTTTTGGAGGGCCTTTACAGGGAGTTTGAACGGGATCCCCAGCTAGTAAAACCAGTCGTGAATGACACAAACAATTTTGCCCGCCGCGTGCCTTCTGATGAGGGGTCAGATGAGTCTGGGGATGACTCATCAGATTTAGACGAGTCAGACGACGACGAATCGGAAGATGAAAGTGGTGACGAAACGGACGAGAGCCCTAGAAGCCTCGAGCGAAAGCGAAAATGCTGCCTGTGTTGCGCGTGTTTTGAATGCTGCGTATGCTTCCGCATACCCTGTAGGTACCCCTTCGACGCTGTGTACCACGCCTTCCAGCGAAAGATCGATGGCTGCCCAGTCGCTTGCCCCACTCTGATACCTCGAAGTGTCGAAGAGGAGTGGCGTTTCAAGGGTGGTTATGGAGCGAGGTTTGCAATCTGTGAGTCCTGTTCCTCGCCTGAGTGCATCGTTTGCCTCAAGTGGTTCGACACGTTGCTCTGTCCAGTGTGCGCTCTTTGGGAGATAGTCAAAGGCATCGACTTCGGGTACAGGCGATTCCGCATTCAAGCCTACATCCACAGACATCACGAAGCAGTCAGAGGCTACAAGACGATGTGGGTGTAGTAATCCACTCTGGTTGGCACGCGAATGCTGCATTCGATCTTTTATCTCATATTACTTTTTTGATTTGCTTAAAAGTTGATCGATTTTGTTACAAATAACAAATAAGTGACCATGTTCGTGCATCTAAACTGTGCGTTGAAGACAGTTTCGCAACAAGAGACGGAATCACTGACCATTTTGTTGATTTCATGGAATGGAATAGCATGTCTGAAATCTTATTTGCGTACTTAGGACTTGAACAGATACGCGTGCAGGATGTAAATAGTGCTCCGATAGGTGCGCTTGTCCACCAGCACCACAAAAAAGACCAAACCAAGCAAAAGTACATAATGTCGCTTGAAAAAAGGTAGCATCGCAACCTTGAACACTAAACTCTAACACACAGAGAAGATATTCAGGAGAATTGTCTGATTCGTTTCGTAAATGCATTGTATTCACAAAGAGTACATTAGACAGGTACAAAGATCCAAATGATGCAGACGACTTTAGCAGTGGTTTTAATCCACAAGAGGTTGAGTATCAGGTCTTTAATAAGAATCGAAAGCATGGTGATTTGCATAAAAATAAAAGCACCCACACTTGATTAAGCCAAAAATAAATCACAGTAACATACAACATAATCAGAGGTTATTTAAAGTAACACAAAGCGAGCAATTTCAGAGGTAAAATTGAGATCGGCTTCATTTAGACAGACCCGTAAGCACGCTTCCGGCCAGGGTGAAGCACAGTGCTACCGCCAGTTTCAGGTAGTTTCGTAAACCCTAAAATATGATCAAAACATAAACGAGTTTTCAATAAAATATTGATTCACGGACAAGCGATCCACCACGTCTCCGACGAAGAAACGATTAAAAACTGAACAGTGTGAAATTAATAGTTTAAAAAGTGGAAGGATTTCTTTAAAATTAAACTCACAAAATTGGATTTCGATTGCTGTTGGATGCCATAATTTGGCATTTTACAACACACCGACAAAAGTAACATTGGTAAAACCAATTAACATGGACAACAAGGATTTGCAAGACCTTAACTTGTTGACACAATCAAAATTACAACCAGCAAGGTACACTTACCTACGCGTCACACCAATCACTCTTAAGCTAAATGAATATTCTGCATTAAACATTGTGAGAAACGTGAAATTTTAACACCACTCGGATAGCAGCACTTGAGATAACATCTTTTTGTTATCATTGGGCAGAAAAATTGTCGCTTATCGAAGCGCCCACGTCTCTTTGAAGAGACAGGAAAACGTACCCGTACTTCACGGTAGAAAATAGTTCCAATGAGTGTTGCGATGGCGCCCGGCAACGTCGCCGCGATCGGGAACGTGATTGAAGCCTGCAGGGCCTCATTGGCCACGAGCCAAAAGGCCTGTCCAACGATGCATAGCATGCCTGAGAGCACGCCGGGGAGGATGCTCACTGGAGCCTGCATTGCGGGACTTCTCAAGGTCACCAAACAGTAGATTAGGCAATAGATTGTGGAGGCCAAAAAGGCACCCGCTCCAATCGGAAATAAGTAATCAATACCTGGATAACGAAATAAAATTAACACTCACAGGGAAATCTAATTGCGTACTAACTAGGGGCGTAGGTATAAAGTCAGCTTGATGTTTGTCCAAGGATGCAAAATTTGGTTCAAGTCAGTTTGTACAGAAAAAGACTGCGTGCGCATTTTAACACCGCATGAAATCGTCGGTAGGAAAACGTGACGGATCGGAGGGTTAGCCAAACGAATTGATTGCATATACTTTAATGAAACGCATACAAAGTAGGAAAATATGCTGAAAAGGAATCGTTTGGAAAGAAAGCCACTCAAGGTGAAAGCTACGGCAGACACCGATTGCCGATTAGCCCTGCGCAAAGAGAGCCTGGATCGATAAAATAATCTCGTTTTTTAGACCCCAGCAATCTTTGGGTGAGGTCCAAGCAAAGACAACAAAGTCACGTAATCTAGACTAGGAAGTTATTTTGCGTGTGCTCGTTAAACACATTAAAATGACCCCAAAAGGTAAACGAAAATGCAGAGGTCACGTAAGTCGGTCGTCGGGACCAAGCGTGTCAACTGATGTTTGGCTATTTGGTGCACATGCACAAATACCCAATATGCTGTTGCAATCAAATCCAGAGGGATGCGAAGCCTATTGAATTAACCTCCTCCCAGTCTATGATAGGAGCACTTGCATTGATTCGCGAAGCAAGGAATGAGTTAATTGGTTGGCATCTCGTTCGTTCCTCGCACGCGAACGGTATCAAAGACACTCCTCGGCACCCATGACCTGTTATCAGCAAACGACAACACGTATAAGTTGACAGGTAATGGTAAAATTCGATAATTAGAGTGCGCCACGGTATTACAATGCCACAATCAACAATTTCATTAGTATGGACCCAGGAATCGTCTTTAATGGAGACGTATAAGAGTGCATTACTGCAGTAAGGCTACCTCGGTGGCTAGCATCGTGGTAGTTCTCTTGAACATAGATTATCGGTGCAAAGGCGACTCCGTAAAACAGCCCTGAGAGAGCAGCCAGCAGGATACCTCTAAAATTCCAAAAAAAGATATTTCCGTTTCACTTTAAAACTCAAAGCGGCAACCTAAATACTTGTACACCAAGCCGAAGACTATTTTTCTGCGAATTATAGGGCAGCAACCTAGAGATTCCCAAATTTACTCGCGTAAGTACCCTAACTCGGACGTCAAAACATTTAACCACTCCAATTCGGTTGTACCCACATTAATCGCTGTGCCAAAGTAGATTTCCAGAACCGCCGAACAGTGACTGCAAAACCTGGTTGCAAAAGTGGGACGCTGTCTGCTGTCGATCCGTGTGGAGACTCTTCCATCTCTTCCACAGAAGACGGGGCTTCTCCGGTGGTTTCATCGACAGCAGAAGCGTCCCCGAGTGAGACCTCGCGTTCAGCGGTTGGTGGTGGTTTGATGAAAGCGTAGAAAAATACGCTGAAATTGGGAAGGGACGAAATGAACTCGAGTTGAAGACATAAGATACAAGTAATGCTAGACGCAGACCTCATCACAGCTAAAGTGACTCCGACAATATTCAATGTGTTGTTCTTTGGCACCTCGGGTTTGAGTCCGAACCAGCCAAATCTAAACGCAAATCAGCAAATTGTATATCTAAGAACGTAAAGAAAACATTGGTCCAAAGAGGCAAACTTACCGACAACTAGCCCATCCCACAAGCAAGTTGATTGAGCTCCAAATCAGCATGCCGACGCCCATTCCAAGACGCTTGACGATCGCAACTACTGCTACGTTGCCTAAAAACCGTAAGTTCAGAATTCCTGACATTAAACATTTTATGAATTGGGACCCTATGCAAACAATACTTGTCTGTGAAACCATGATTACCATGATAAAATTGATCCACTGGGATCGATTAATTGGCAGCGAAAGTTATGAAAACGTGCATGTGCCATCTTAAAAATAAGTACTCATTATACAAGAAATAAGTTTGAGCATTTTGAAGCTATGTTGCAACAGCTGGGTGGACAAATTCGAAAGGGCACACGATGAGAAAATCCGAAAAACAATAGGACCGATCAGAATAACATGGCAAATGTTACGGCATCTATAGATGGTTTGCAGCCTGAATTAAGGCAGTAGCAAGTACTGGGAACGAGTCTACGCTTAAAAGCGGAGGCGAGGCACTACAAATAACTCGATTTTCTGTTGCGAGGATACGCTTTGGATATAAAATTTAACGAGAGTAGGCGTGTGCTTGCAAAATAAGCAAGATTTTTATAAACTCGATAATGGGTAAACATTGAGTTAGAAATCGGCCCTGTCTTATAAATTACTCCCAAAATGAAAACCCACAGAACACCATTAGCATGACCCTTATCAGCATTAACGGATAACGGTGTCATAAATGGGTGCAATGTCTACGAAGACTATGGAATGGCATCGCAAAGGCTACGAACCAACACTTAAATATTTTGCCAGATCAGTTAAAGATTACCACTGAGCAGGAAACAGCAATTACGTTATATTTCTCTAATGAACATACGACCGAGGTTTTGAATCACTCTTTTTAGCCCGTGAATTTAACAAGGCTTCATCCAAAACATCGACTAGGTAATACTTAGTGGATCACGAAAAGGCACAAAGCTAGTCTAATGCACACAGTTGTGGAAACAAATTGCGCCGCGGTAGGTGAAGGAGGGAGGTCTTCTAAGTACACTCTAGTAAGGAATTGAACCAGTAGCTGGTAAAATCAAGATGATTCGAAGGGCACATCGTATTACCACAGAGTACGTCTTAAATAGATAAATATGCGATTCCGAAGAAGGAGCTCTCTTAAGGGCAGAGCCATTTACAACACGTTCTTAGCATATGAGACAGACTTTTCAAAAAAAAATTAGGGTTTTAAAATTGACAATATTACTATCGTGAAGACTTTGCAGAGTAAAAGGCGATGACAAAATACACGCAGAAGCACGACACACTGAAACAGTGAAAGTTCAGAAGTTTAAACAAGTTTTTTTTATTTCAAATTCACCTGATTTAATTCAAGTCTACCAAAAGTAACTCCAGGTTAGGTAACAAAGTAATTAAATGAGTCCTTCAGAACACACGGAAAATGCAGTAGGATGAAGCAAAGAACTTTTCACGAACTCTTGACTAAATTGAAGGTGGCGAAAAGGTGTCCTTTCATTTTCTCGATTGTTTTTTTGTGCGTGTCAAGGAAACACGAAGATATTCGATAAACCACAAAAAAACAGATATCAAGCAAGGCTTCACGCGAGCCAACAGTTTTTTAGGGACGCTGGGAGAAACTTCGGTGTTTCTAAAGCCACGGTATCTAGTACTTTCGCAGGAATCGACTAAATCACGGTGCTTTGAAGGCAGGGGAAAAACACGGCAACATATAAACAACATCAAGGCCGTCGTACAATTCGGGTCTTGGCGTTTCGTCATGAGCCTGCTTGTGAAGCCCGAAAGTAGGAATCACGCTATTTATATTGGAACGAACACGAGCACGCATGAAAGGCTTTGGTATAAACGAGAATTTTCTGGAAGGAAGCGAAGCTCTTGTGAAGGCTATATCCCGAGGTGCTATTGCTAGTTCAATACTTTCGTGTGTTTCTGCGTGCAATTAGTTTTATGAACTGCTGCAACATGGCATTGATGCCAACTATCGGCGTTGCCTTTCACCTATCCAAGGAACCAACCAAAGCATGCATTAGCTTTACGAAGCAGTAGTGTTCGAAACATATTCAGTTGGTAATTTGCACCTACCTTAAAAAATTACACCAAGACAATTAAAACAAGAAATACTGTGCCTGGCAAAGTATCATCGACACGAAAGTGTACAGTTAAAAGAATTGTAGAGCATCGTGACGAATTATGGAGGACCAAATTTTATGTACGTTAACAATGTTGTGATTTACTCGAAGCCATAAACGAAGTCTATAATCTAAAAACGCATATTAACGTGTTTAGCACAACCAGAACTGGGATAAATTATTATGATACGCATTTCGAAGGTAGATGGTACATTAGTAAAGGATGTCTTCTGTGATAATACACACGTTAGTTAAAAAACGTAGTCCCTTTGGGTAGATTTGTCAAATTTGAATTGAAAGTGAGGTTAACGCACCTGTTGCCCACGAACACCCGGCTAGCACGGTTAGAGGCCAAATTTTCGGTGATCCCACGCACAAATGAATTGCAAAAGAGAAGAAGGCCATGGCAACACATATGATCCACTGAAAGAGTATACCTGAAATTAGATGAATCAGAATGGATAACAAAATGACAGCAGCTTTAATGGAAGGAACGACTGAATATGGTGCAATAACACGGCCAAATTCTTTTAATCCACCACAGGAAAGTGCTATTATCTCATCTAATCACGACGCCTTTTTTTCCGGACGGACGATGTAATTCTAGAATAACACAAAGTATTAGCTTGAGTTTACGTAAGTCACGAGTGTGCGACAAGCTTCAAAGACTAGGCAGAAATCTCAAGTGGCAGCAAGCTTCCATAATTTAGAACAGGGAACCACAATTCGGCCCCAAGTAGCATCAAAGCCTTATAAAGACGCAGTTCTAGAATTAAAAATCATAAAATCATCATGGTAAAAATTTTGGGTCGTTGACTTCTAAAACATGTAGCAAAATGACTCAGTCAAAATTGGAAATACTTAATTGTCTAGAAAATCATAAACGCCGATTTTTGCATAAACACGTTCTCTGATATTCGCATTATACACAGTGGAATACATGCTACCGTATCTAATAAAAACGACAACCGTAATTAGGTGACTTCCTCGTCTGATTAAATAGCGGTCCCCAGAGGAATCAGCATTAGTGGTCATTAGGTAAGTTAATGAAGTCAAGGATAATTTTAGATACAAACCACAGGCCAGGTTCCAATCAGACATCCGGTGGGAGTGAGTTGGCTCCTAATTTTTAAGCAGACTAATCGCAAAAACCAAACCGCTGACTACAAAAAACGTGAAATGCCGAGTAGTATAAGACAGTTATAAACCACATGAAAATACGTTTTGACGAGCTCTGTCAGCTGCCAAAAAATGAGAATTGTGGCTCTTTGATTGTTTTTGAGACTGTATCTACATAAAGAACGACGACATGAGCATATTACGAATCAGGACAGAACCCCAACCTATTTCTTCCAGTAATTACATTCATGCATGAAACCATGGAAAGCTCTTTGCATCTGTAGCATGTGAAATTCAAAACGTTTTAACAGAAAGTGTAGTCCGGTATATAGGAAGAATCCGGCCGTCTACATAATCACAGTGTCGTCATTACAAAAGGCAAAGATTGTATACCGAATCGAATGTTTGGTAAAAATTTTGTTGAAAGAACTGTACAAACTGCTAAATCTGGGACTTGTAATATGGCGTATTAACAAGATGGTAATCAATCGTTAAACTGCAGTCATCACTAACACAAAATACGTGTCTACGGGACGGCCCGGAGTCGGTAGTTGTAAGTAAGCACTTCCTTTTACGTAACTAACAAAAGAAGCAGGGATGCATCAGCAAAAACTGATTTTCATAGGGCTGTCAAAATGTTTCTGTCTTATCTAAAGATGGTTTCCGTTATTTTCCGCCTCAGTATCTTTGGTATCTGTCACTTGAGCTTTGGCACGTAAGATTGAACACGACTAGCTAACTTCGAAACTCGGAATCAGTACGAATTCAGTTAATTATCCCATTTGATTCTGAATTAGTGCACATTAATAGAATTTGTGCACAATAATACAAAATCGAGACTCGGTGTAAAACTAACACAATGAGACTACAATGAAAACTTGCCATCAGTGTCAACCTTTTGCAATCGCAGGCACAAATTGAAGTCTTAATGGTACCTCAAAAATTAAGAATAAATACAGACATACTGAGGCTCATCCGCAAATTGGTGGAGGAAAATCACGATGCCAAACATTCATGCAGGGGATTAAGGAACACGAAGAAAGTAGTTTAGTCCCCTGTGATTTCCAAGTACATAAATCCAGACATATTGCGATAATTAAGGTATTGGAGGAGGCGACTTACAAAAAAATAATTTCAAAATGGACGTCATCGAGTCAGTCAAGTTGACAGATTTATATCGGGAAAAAAGACGTGAAATTTTATAACAACTAAGTGGGGCAGTCAACAGGAGACGCATGAGGACAATAGGATTTAAGCTGAAGTAAGGCATAAATTAGAAAGAATGTAAATACTTACTAAAACGTTCATGATTTATTCTGATTTATTTCAGAGCATTTACTTCGTGCATGATGTCATGCATAAGAACCTCAACATTAGGCTCATGAAAAATTATTTCCTGACAAGAGTGAAGGGGCCTAATCAACCGTCCGTGCGCGTCAAAAATTCAAGATGATGTCTCAAATCATCAACATAAGTGGTACAATAACCAGAATTAACGAATATAGAGTACGGTGCTGTCCAAAAGGATTCGACTCTGTGCAAACTAAAGGCTACCGTAATTTTACAAATAAACTGATGCGCCAGGGAGAAAAGAAAAATAAAGGGACTTTTGTGGGTTGCTGGGTTATTCGAAGATTGACTAATATTCGAGAGATGACAACAATGGTAGCGTTACAAAAAGTTTTTATTTCAAACCAGACAGAAATTGCAAAAATGTCACCCGAAAAAGTCAGTTACCAATGTGACTTGAAATTTAAAGGGCTATGACAGCGCAATAATTTTGCATTATAACTTATAACATGGGAAGCCAAACAATGAGTTAAGTCCGCTCAATTTGATGGCTGCAAAACGAACATATTCGTCTTGAAAGAAAATGTATATATTTAAGCAGTCGAGGAAAGCATGGACAAAACAATGTTTAATTGACAACCTACCGTTGCCCATATTGTACTTCTTAGCGGGTAAGTACATCGTCCCAAAAGCAAACGATAATCCACACAGAGCGAAAAACCCAAACTGGGTAGAGATCTCATTTAAATTCGAAGAAGTACGGGCGTAAGAAAACATGCTGAGTTAGAGAAAATAAAATGTCTCAAAAATAATTATCAAACATCTGACAGCAAGTCGATTGGTGGAATCCTACCAATTCATAGAGCAAACACAAATCTTCTATTTATTTGCTACTTGCATACAATTAAACAAATTGCATTCAAGACTAAAAAAGCAACTTATCTTTGTTAGAAAACAAAAAAGTATAAAATATATTTTTTATGTCATAAAGGTATACAAACGCATTATAATTATCTCTGCTAATAGCGACAAAACTAATTTTAGACGCTTTATAACCATTAAATTTGGTAAATATTTTAAATATAGTGCAATTTAGACTGAAATTTCTTTTGATTAGCATTAGGCACTATTAGTGACATACAATGAAAAAGTATTACAAGGTATGACATATCAATGCTAAAGCGTAAACTTTTAATTGCAACAAAAATAATAGTTACTACCTGATATCATGTTGAATAATTCGTAGCAGCTATTATTCACAGAACTTTGTCAAAAATTTATACAGGTTGTAAGCTTTTCGGCACCAAATAATATTAGAAGTCAATGGTATCCTCTATATATATTCCCTGACTCTACTACTAAATCGATAATTTCAAATCACTGTAATCAGCTACATACCATAACCAATGCCATAAAACTATTCCTGAACTCATGAATAAGATAAATGATTTTTTTTACAATTATATTACCATTTCGTGTCATTTGGTTAAGAAATGGATAAAAGTATATAACCTAATATTTTTAGCCCACGTTACTTATTTTAAGCAAGCTACTTAATAACTATTATTTCAATATCGCGAAAAGTTTTAGACTGTTGGCCGCATGTCACGTAAATATTGTGAATCGCCCACGGATGTTATAAACAGGTATCCCAAACATATGCGCTAATAATTTTGTTGCACCTAAATATTGATATTTTCTGTTGACTTTCATTTGTCTAATAGAATACACGACACTCCACATCCCACAATCACGAGGTCAATTCCTTAATGCATTTCTGTTGTATGGTAATGGACTGCTCACATACTCTCTTTCGCTATTACAAGGCATCTTATATAACTCTATTTTTTTTATATTTCCATTTAAAGGCCATTTAACATAAAGATTTTTTCCCTGTCGCCCCGTTCATTAATAACCTATTTTGCTGTTAGATTGATTTATTCATTTCCTTTTAATTTAAGCGCCGTTAGTTTGATTTAGAATCAATTTAAGAAAATTTTAATTAAATATTGATTGAAATCACGGCCTTTTTGGCTTTTAAACACATACCAAAATCCAAATTACCTATAAAATTACCTAGTGGTGTCAACTAAGGTGCATTAAAAGCAAAGTGATATTGTGCTGGTTTGGTTGTAGTTTATAAATGCTTACTTCCCTAACTTTGGACTCTATGTTCGATTTTTTTTTATTTTTTTTTGTACCAATTTTGTTTCTATTACTTAAAATTCGCGAAATCCTCTTACCATTTACGGGTCCTATTTTACTTCGCAAAATAAACAAATTGAAGCAATATGCATGCAGCTTAAACTGCTTAAAAATAATTTGAGAGCAACACCACAAAAAACATTTTGGCTGCTCTTACATTTTAATGTTTTAATTAATAACTCAGAAGGCTCCTTTTCAGATAGACTCGCTCTCTCTTTATTGGGCACATTTTGAGACTGTTGGGTTTCAGCTTTTTGTCGCCCCTTAATGTCCACGTCTATATCAAGCCTAAATAGCCTTTTTTCCTTTACATCACCAGCTGTCAAAAGGTTGCTTGGTTGGAAGCAAGGTGACGAGGAAGAAAAGTGGGCCGAAAAAGCTGTAGATTCTCTTGTCAAGAAATTAAAAAAGAAAAAAGGAGCTCTTGAATCCCTTGAGAAAGCCTTAAGTAATCCTGGTGAGCCAAGTGAGTGCGTCACAATTCCTCGGTCCTTGGATGGCCGACTGCAGGTCTCTCATCGCAAGGGCCTTCCCCATGTTATCTATTGCCGTGTTTGGCGTTGGCCTGACCTTCAAAGTCATCATGAGCTTAAGCCCCTTGACGTTTGTCGTTTCCCCTTTTCTGCCAAGGAGAATGAAGTTTGCATAAATCCCTACCATTACAAACGTGTTGAAAGTCCAGGTATGTGATATTCTAAAATAACGTAGTGTTAAATATTTTGTTTTAAAAGTTGTATTAAGCGTTATGGACCTTATAATTCGAAGTACTAAACCAAGGTGCGCAACCCTTCATGCTTAAAAAAATTCTACGACTGTTGATCTTACACCTTTTTTTCAAGGATTGCTCTAGAGCAATCCAACTGATCATCTGATTCTCATTTCAGTTCTACCTTCCGTTTTGGTTCCACGACACAGCGAGTATCCTTGTATGGGATCAGTAGCCAATGGTCCCTTGGCTGGGTCTCCTGGGACAAGTGGAATGCCGCATCCCTCTGTCCCACCCCTAATGGCCTCTCCCTACGGCCTCCCCGCTCCCAGTGAACCCTCTATGCCGTACAACGTAACCTATCCCCAGGGTATTCCACAAACATCGCCTCTTCCATCAACCACACCTGTTAGCAGTGGTGCATCGCCGTCCACCGTTATTCCACCACCTCCTGGTTTGTTTCTCGACATTAAACTATTTATATTTTTGTATTTTAAACCCCATTCAGATCGGGGTTGTGGAACTAGAAAGGTGGATTGTACTATAATTTAATTTTCGAGAAATATGTTATCTTGCAGCTCATCAGGGTCAGGAATTTACTTTTCTGCGTGGTATATTACTCTAACTCATTAGGTAAATGCTCATTGATATTCGAGTTAAAGCATTGTTTTTTTCTATCATCTCAGCATCCCGAAATTCATGCCCATTTGAACCATGCTTTATTTTAGGCCTGGGCCTTGTATATTGTACTCATGTAAAAATGCATTGGTTCTTATATACTTGCTAGCGTGCGGCTCCTGGATATTAGACAATTGCATAATATTAGGAGTTGATAAATAAAAAATACCCACATCTTTTACTTTTGATAAGGATTTTTTCTGGTTTCAATTACTATTAAGGCGGTTCACATTATTCACTTGACCGAAAAACACAAATAAATTGTGGGGATTGTAATTAATTTAGCTTGTCTATAAATCAACACAGTTTTTTGGGCTATAAAGTTCTCCATCGCACGTTTACCTAAGTAGCATCAAAAACGTACGTTATGCTATAATTCTGATTGAGAAGAAGTGCGAATTTTTGTGATGTCACCCGCAAAAAAATCTAGAACCATCCCAGACGGAAGGACTAAGTTCAACACACAGCAGTCACGTTGGTATAATTTATGTGCCTTCCGCCATGGTCGTGAGGTTGACTAGCAACGCCTCATGCTGCCATGGTTCGCTATCACTTTCTTTCACACTTGGACACTTCAGAATATCCGTCTGAGGTATCACAAACTAACAAATACTCAATGATGTGTTCCGTCATTGCACACATGATCTTGATGCCTTTTTTACAGATGCCCACCCGGTGACGTATCAGGAACCAAAGTACTGGTGCTCAATAGTCTATTATGAGTTGAACACTCGCGTAGGTGAGGCATTCTTTGCCTCACAACCAAGCATCGTTATCGACGGCTTTACGGACCCTTCGAACAACTCCGACCGCTTCTGCCTTGGCCTCCTTTCTAATGTCAACCGGAATTCTACCATTGAAAATACGCGTCGACATATTGGAAAGGGTATGTTCCTATAAAGAGATAGTCTACTGTCGTAAGCCTCACGGACAAATTACTCTTCGAATTGCATAAGAAATATTCCTAAATTCACTGGTTCTGCCCCTATCCTGTCTTACTTCGTGCTTAAAAGAGCTTTGCTGAGCTGTGAAGGTTGATTACCTTTTTGATATCCGCTCGTGTCCGGAGGATTCCTATTCCGTCACAGTCCTTGCAAGTGCTCTGTGTAGTTTATTCTGTCGTTGCCCTATCCACGGTCCACTGATTGGGCTATGCAATTTTTTCCTCAATTCTATTCGTTAAGCGCACACGCACGCTGTTTATTGAGGCTCTTTTAATTACTCCAACACCACGTGTAATTGGACTCGATGTTTTTTTCGCAACCACGTTACTGGCCACTGGTTACGACGGTGAAGTCTTCATCTCTGCTTTGTTTATTTAGTATTTTACTGGCCGTGAGGTGTTCTGAC